TAAGGTATATATATTTTTTTTAATAATGTAAAAAAAATGCACTTTTAAAAATTTATTTTTACAAATTTTTAATTTAACAACTATTTCCAGTAATTCATATATACATACACACGTATGTATATATATATAAATTGCCTAATTAAAAACAGCTGTTACATTACAAATTTGTAGAAATAAATTTCTAGAAGTGTACATTTCTATTTTTATATTATCTAAAGATAAAAATATCTTGTTATAATTTAAATTCGTTTGAATTATATAAGATGTCACAAATATACTGAAGGAAAATGTAACAAGTTAGAAGTTTGAGGTTATGAACAATACCGGTGTTTATTCGTCGAACAAAAACAAGTAGGCTAGGTTAGATCATATTTTAAAATCTTCACATAATCAGAATAGAAAGATCAAATATTTTATAAATGTAATTTATATCTTCGTTTTCAAAATGAATCCCAACAGAATAAAAAAGGGAACGACAATCTTTACTGGTAAACCGTTTGTTTTTACTCTTAACTCGAAACATAGGACTACTCGATGTGACAATTGTTTGAAGAGGTATAAATAAACTATATACTAAATATTTAAAACAGCATATAAAATTGCAATATTATATCTGATGGTTTTCTGTTACATTATTTTAATTTAAGTATTTTGGATTGAATTAGTTTTATATATCCCTTAGTGAAAATTTTTTTTTAGAATTCTTCAAATAATTTTTCAGAATTTATTTTTAATAAATTTCAGAATTCTCTCTTTAGAACATCTATATAATTTTACATCATTTAAAAAATTTCTTAGATTTTTATATAAATTAGAACACACTTCAGAAATAATTAGAATTAGGAAAGACTATTTTTTCTTGATTTCTTCATATAAATATGTGAATATTTTGAAATATTTTAAGACTACTAAGGTTTCTCATTTTATTATTTCTAAAGAAAATTTATAAAATTTGAACAAGTTTAAAATATTTTTTATAAAAATATGAAAACAAATTTTCATATTTTTAAGAATGTTGCATCAGAGATAAAGCAAATTATTGTACACGTAAATGCATTTGATACACATTATATATTGCTTTAAGTACTATTGCTATTATGATTTATTATTGCAGTGGGAAATTGTTAAAGTGCTCGAGTTGTCAGTACGTGTATTATTGTGACCGCAATTGTCAGAAAGAATCGTGGCCGATTCATAAGACAGAATGTACACGTTTGAAAAAGGTGTCGCCGAAAGTATTGCCAGATGCGGCTCGACTTATGGCACGTATCATTCTCAAACTCAATCAAGGTGGAGCTGAGGAAGTGGGCTATTACACTGAGAAAAACTTTAGAAGATTCAAGGACCTAATGTCTCGTAAATATTTTTTTCTCTTTTTAAAAAGAAGATATTTTAAGAAAAAAATCTATAAATATATATAATCAATTTGTATCTCTGAATTGCAGATTATTCAGACATAAAAGTGGATGTTAAGCGAATGGAACATTTCACCATGTTATATGGAGTTTTATCTCAGTTTCTCGATGAGACATTTATGCCTAATATTGCAGAGCTGATGGGTATTTATGGCAGGATATGTACTAACTCTTTCAACATACTGGATATCAATATGAATACCATCGGAGTTGGCATTTATCTGGGAGCATCTGTGATAGATCATAGTTGTAAACCTAATGCGGTTGTTGTTTTTGAAGGAACTACCATTATTGTTAGAACATTAACAGACCTTTCTTCTTTGGATTGGTCGCAGGCAAGTATTGATAAAGTTAATTCCAATAGTTGAAAAACATTTCATTTTCTTATTCTATAGCTCTCAAAAGTTTGATTCTATTGATAATTCTCAATCATTAAAAACAATAGTTAGATATATTTTACATTTCGGTATTTATGTAATTTTATTTTGCACAGATAAGAATATCCTACGTGGATTTACTCAATTCTAATAAGGATAGGCGCGAAGAATTGCACAGTTCGTATTACTTTTGGTGTGATTGCGAAAGATGTAAGAAAGAGGAACCAATGGCCGAAGTGGCTGCGTGTCCAAACTTATCATGCGACTCACCGTGTTCGATTGAAGCTGACGAATGCGAGAAGTGTAACACGGAAATATCTGTAGAATTTAAAGAGACATTTCGGGAAGTCGTCGATTTTACTGCTCATCACTTGGAAAAAATGAAAACTATGGCTTGTATCCTTTTGATATTTACATGAAGAAACTTATATTTTTTTTTATTTAATAGATATATGGAATTTTGGAACAATGCATTTATTCTGTACGATACAATTTTTCCTTAATATTTTTTCTTATTAATGACAATAGATCTTGATGTTAGTAAGATATGTTTGAAGAAGCAAAAGGGTATAATGCATAAATTTAATATACAACATGTTCGTACTCTAGAAATGGCTCATATCGCGGCTATGAATCTGAAGTGTTGGGAAGATGCGGAGTTTTATGGCAAGGAACTTGTGCCAGGATACTTGTGAGTGATTGTTTATTTAACCTGTAGATACTATTATAAAATACAGATAATATTATAAAATAATTCATAATACACTTTTTTATTATTTTTTTATTTTAAATGAATAATTCTAGTTGAGGACGTCATTGCTCGCTTTTCAGATTGTATTACGGGGAAATACATCCTTTGACAGGACTGCTGTATCTCACGATAGGAAAGATACAGTTGCACTTGGAAAAACCGAAAGAAGCACTCCAAGCACTAACTAAAGCAAATACGGTGCTGACGATAACGCATGGTGATAAACACTCTATAATGGAAGAAGAATTGAGACCTTTGCTTTATCAAGCTGATATGGAGTCGAATAGCGCGTAATGATCTTAAATTTTTGTAATTTTTATAGTAATAAATTATTGTTTAAACACGGCGTTTTTTAATTTTTAATATATCCTAATTATAATTTTTTTTCGAACATAAGAATTTTAGCATATTAATAGTATTAATATATTTATTAAGATAACAATTATTTTGTATTTCTTTGTATCATTCTATTGTTCATAATATCGTATCCATGATTTGATTAGAAAATTAGAACAATTTATAAAATAAAAATACGAAAACTTTTTGAAGATGGAACAATTGATACATAAATCAAACTCGTCAAAATAATGAAATAAAATCTTTACGTTTTGGGAAGCAAGGGGGAAAGTTGAAATAAAATAAATGTAAGATCCAGTTTTTAGCAATCTAAAGAGAAAGATTATTCAAAACGAAAGGACGCAGCTTGGAGATAAAATTTGTTTTATTATCACGTAAGGAATCTATTAGCGATCGATATTTTTTATGAATGGCACGTCGAGAGTGCGGAACAGTCGGCGCTGCCAACTTTGGGACATCGAGAGAGAAAGAAACAGCTGCTTCTGCTGCTACTGGCTGTTACATATGACAGCTGTCTTACAGTGCGTTCAACGACGAGAGATCCGGCTTCGTTTCATGAGGCTTGGATCGTGTTAACGTCGAGTGGTAAGTGCAATTTCACACGAATGTTTTACGAATCCTCAGAATGATCCTGATCATTCGTACACCGCGCGAATTATCGAATTTTCCTGATGATCGGATCGTGAAAAAAATTCAATTTGGGTTAGAGATTTGGATTTCATTCAATCTTGTTTGCAAGGATGCGTGAGCTTTAAGTACTTCGATGCTTATATTCCATCTGTTCCATTAGAATACGGTACATCTCCCAGTAACGGATGTGGATAGTACTTGTCATTGCTACATAATAATCATCACATAGAGCAATTAAGTTATTTACCACCGTTATCACTAGCAATATGTTTTTAGCTCGTAAACTACAAAGTGTCCTCCAATAATCGCGTCGATGATGAGAATTATACAGCCTTTGTGTTTTTTTCAAGAAACGATATATTTATTATTTTATAAATATTTTGTAAGTATTTTTATGTTATTTTTGTTTACATACACTTTTTGCTTTATTTTAATATATTTTCTACAGGTATTTGCAGTTAACTTTCCTTTTTAAGCATCAAAGTTATTTCTTGAACTGATGCTTTTTTGAGGAATCGCATGATGTTTTCTGCCATTAAAAGATTAGCCGGTAAATCCGATGGAATCAGCAATGCGTCTCCCAGACCAGCCCATCAATCCATGCCAACGAATCTTCAGAGGAAGTTTGCTAAAGGCGTACAATATAACAGTAAGTGCATGTATATGCTTTATGTGTAAATAACGAAGTAGAACATCAGTTGTAATGCAATCTTTACACATTATTTTTAGTGAAAATAATAATAAAAGGAGACAGGAATGTAGGAAAGACATGTTTATTCCATAGACTGCAGGGGCAAAAGTTTATCGAAGAGTATATACCCACGGAAGAAATACAGGTGGCTAGTATACAGTGGAATTACAAAGCCACCGACGACGTAGTCAAAGTGGAGGTATGGGATGTCGTAGATCGTGGTAGACGCCGGCGGAAATTAGAGGGTCTAAAAATGGACAATACTCCGGCTAATGCAGAAAACATTATTGAGGAACCTGCTCTAGATGCTGAGTTTCTCGACGTTTACAAGGGTACCAATGGTGTTATCATTGTGATGGACATTACGAAGAACTGGACATTTGATTATGTCCAACGTGAGCTACCGAAGATACCTAGCCACATACCTGTCATTGTCCTCGGTAACCACTGCGACATGTCGCATCACAGAACCGTCACTGCGGATCACGTGACATACTTCATAGATTCACTACACGAGAGAATAGCACAAGTAATTGAAATGATTGTTAATATTATAATTATTATATGTGTGTCTCATTATTAATGAATATTTCTCCAGTAGTAAATTAAAAAAAAAGTTATCATGTCTAGTAAGAATTGAAGTTATCATTTTTTAATTTCTAAAATTAAGAAATTCTATATCTTGTTTTTCTTAATATTAACAAAATTATTAAAACATGAAATCATTATACTTTAATAAAAGTTTTGCTTGAAAGAATATTGAGTTTTTCCGTAGATATAAAGAATTAAAGATGTAAAGAATTAAAGTTTTGGAAAGAAAATTCACATTTTATTTATTTTATTACTTTATTAATAAATTTTACTAACCATTTTGAAAAAAATTCATTCACTTGTGTGTTTATATCGAACAATATATATTCATAACTCAATATCGACTAAAAGACTTCACTTAATTTTAAAGTTAAATGAATTGTTGCAGGTGAGATACGCAGAGTCATCGATGCGAAATGGCTTCGGCCTAAAATTATTACACAAATTTTTTAATTTACCATTTCTGCAACTGCAACGCGAGACACTGTTAAAGCAACTCGAGACCAATGAAGAGGAGACGCGTTTGACCATCCAGGAATTGGATCTCTTCCAAGACAGCGACGACGCTGATTACAACAAATTCCTAGACAATCTCGTGAATCGTAGAAGAGCACTTGCCGACTCAGTGTCCGCTAGCAATCTAGTCGCAAACATTGTTCCGTCGTCTATGAGTAATTATCACCTTACATCTTCCAATACAAATTCCATCGGAGAAGTCAAAAGGTCGGCCTCGATGCCTGGTCCTATCGGAGGTGGAACTCCAATACCAGTGAAAAATTTAGACATAAAACCGAGGAAAGAAAGCTTTACGACGAGCACATTGGATAATGTAGTTAATTCCACGAAAACATCACAAATTACATCATCTATTTCACAAAATTCCACTGTTAAAATAGAAACGGTTAAACCGGCTGAATCTGTCAATAACAATGGCGAGAGAAGAGATTCACTCAATCGATCATCATCACTCATGTCCAAGATCTTTGGTCATAAGAAGGAAGATGAGACAGATGGGAAACTGCCAAATATTAAAAATGTTAATTTGAACGCACCGTTGACTAGTGTTGAAGACTTTGTGCCGGATGGAATGCTGGACAAATCGTTTTTGGAAGGCTGCAGTTTGAGCCCTAATTCCCTTACCCCGGAGCCGGATCCTGCACCAGCTCAGGAAGAGGCAGAATCGGAGAGGTAAGCAAAAAGTTTTTTAAAAAGCTCTACTATTTCTAGAAAATATAAATTAGAGAAATATAAATTAGAAAATAATATATATAATTTAAATTTTAGTTTACAAAATTACTTTTTGTTCAATTTTATTTTAGTTGGAGATGTTAAATTATTATCAAGCATTTCTATCAATATTAAAAAAAACCTGCATAAATTACCTGCATAAATTAACCATTGCTTTCTTAAAATAAAATCTTTATTTCTATTGTATTTATCTTTTTTATCTTTGTGCATATTAATAGTTATTTTTATCCTAGTTTTCGTAATGTAATTCTCTATATTTTTTCAATATATTATAAATATAATCAATACTGTTACTAAGAATTGTATTTTTTCTATTTTACAATTGCAATTACAATCAGTATTAATATATTTAAAAAATTATATTATCACAATATAATTTTTTACAGTGACATGGAGACTGGTAATCCTTTGGTAGCCGGTTATGAGGATGACTTGTCATCTATCGAAGAAGTAGCTTCTCCTATACAGCTAAAATTAGCAGAGAATCCGCTATCCAAACAAAAACACAAATTAGAAACGTTATCAGGTCCAGAAATAAATATCGAGCAGCCAAAACAAGTCACAAAAAGCAACTCCGTTTCTTCAATAGAACAAGAGCTGCAGATTTCCAATGAATATGAATCAAACGAGCAATCAGACATAAACTCGGATGCTTTTGATAGCTGGTTGCGACGGGATTCCAAATGGCGACAAAGTCCTGAAGGAGGTGAAGACGTGAGTAGTACTAGTACAAGAAAGGATAGATTGGAATTGAGCGATAAAAGTCTGGATGTTAGTATGACAAGTTCTAATGTTCATCTGGAGTTGCTCGATGATACTAGTGTGCGCCACGTAAGCTCCAATGCTAGTAGTCCAGTAATGAAAGAAAAAAAGAAACATAAAGAGAAGGTAATTATTTTCAACAATGATTTATGAAAGAAGATTTTTGGTTGGTCTACAGAGGATTTTTTCGATTCTTCAATTGATTTTGAGTTATGGATTTATTATTTATTTTTTAAATCGATTTTAGGGGGATGAAAAGGAGAAAAGGAAAAAGAAGAAGTCAAAAGACAAAGATAAGAATAGGGAGAAAACTGAGAAGACCGAAAAAAAGAAAAAACGTTCATCGCATCGATCCAAGGACGAGAATCGAGAGCGAGACGAGCTTGAAGAATTTTTGAACGGCTCGGTCACGAGAATTGGCGTTGATGTGGCCTACGAGGCAATTTAGCATTCATTATTTAACATAATGTTAGGAAATATTCTCGGTAACATTTATTAAAAACGCCACGCATCTTCCAGAAAGACTTCGCTCTCTTCTAATGTAATGTATGTTACGTTTTCCCGAAAGCGGAAGAATAAGATTATTTTTTGCGAAAATAAAATGAATATAAAAAGATATAATTTTGAATCGCGGTATTAACTTGCGATACTCGTTTTTCTCCAAACGGACAGTGAGACGTCCGTTTTGGGACCGCTTTGACCCGTATTTCAGCCGGGCTTGGCATCTCAGTCTGCCACGATAAAAATTGTGATTTTACGAGGAATACGTTTCATCGATCAACTATGCACTTATTTATATTGCATTCCTCATGTTGGATGTTTGACGATTTTTCACGTACATTTGGAAAACCGTACGTGATAAGTTTGTTGCGTGAATGGATACAATAGGCGAATATTCTTTTACGTTGTACGTAATATGATGACTATGTGACATTATAACGGCATACTTACGGCATTATTTATTATACTTTCCATTTTTAATATTTGTGTTCACTTATAGTAAGATTTATATGTATATTTATCGTTGATATCATTTATAAATTTTCTCTTTAGCTTAAAATA